ATGGATCTTAACCCGAGTCCAAGTAACAGTAGTACCAGTAGTCGTTCCAGGCCACCCCTCGGTCACCCGGGCTAACACCTCACCATCCAAACGGGTAAGTATGGTGAACGAAGGTGTTAATTGGACCTCAAACTTTGATCTCCAAAAGTAAACAAATAGCCAATAGCCAATTTCCTGCAGAAACTATGCTTTTTTATTGGGAAAAATTTTACTTTTCTTAAAAAATACTTTATAAACATGGAAACCTTAAATATTTAAATAATTTTCATACCTTTTTGGGATAGCAAAAAGCAAAATTTGATTCCTTAATCACAATTTTTAAAATATATGTGACAAAGTTGCTTCGAAATCACCATCACGCAGTAGAATGTTTATTTACCCTCATCCTTTCGACTGAACAAAGTTTATCTTTTTGAAAAGCTATTTATAGCTCTTGGTTAGCAGTTTACGTTTTATATGTCGATTTTGGTACCCATGAGACCAACAAGTTGTGGTAATCCGTGAATGAAAATGGATTTTTGAAGAGCACAAAAGCCAACTCCTAGCTATGTAACTTTTATTGCCTGACTTTTGAATCAATCCACAATTAAAATGCCGAGTGTAGATGCTTTCCATACTTGAGATGTTAGTGAAGTTTTTCCTGCAATTTAATTTCCTTGATCGCTGTCTTAAAAATTCAAAATCATAAGTTGAAATTTCTCTCATGTTGTTTTTTCAAATTTTTGAATTTTTGTAAAATATCATGTGCGCCAGCAATTTCTCTGCACAGCGACAACAAATTTCCCAGCTGTTCAAATTCAGTGATGATGATGAAATTACAGGTATGACACCAGGACCTCTTCCTCAAAGGATCTCCTGCAAAAAAAATTTTTACCAATCAGATTTCTGAACAGCTCTAAAAATGAATTAATCAATGTCCCACTAATATTTAGGTCCTTTCTTAGGTCCATCCTCAAGACCAATGCAAATTGATTCTGGAACACAACATAATCCTGTTGAACCTACTAATCAAGGTTAAGCTTCATTGCAGTCATTTACTTTATAATTTTTAGTCAGGCTAATAGTATTAAGACTTTCTTTTATCAATTAAAGGTAGTAAAACATCTAATTATGCTAAACAGAAAAAAGTGAACAAGATTTATGCTCAGCAGAAAAAGCAGACTCCGTAAAGCTGTAAATATGAAAAAGACGAAAAGCAACAACATAGATAAGCATACCATATTAGAGGCTCTTCTGACCATGCTACCAGAAAAAAATTGTAACTCCAGATGGACTTGAACCAGAAAAAGAATACAGGGAAACTATACAGTCCTGAGATTAAAGCATTCGCTCTTTCCCTTTATTACGTCAGTGGAAAGGCATACAAATTGTTGTCAAAATTCTTCAAGCTTCAATCCAAAAGCAGTCTGATGAAATGGGTAGCTGCATTTCCAACTGCTCCGGAGCTGACCCCAGCTGCAAAGGAAGCTCTAGCCAGAAAAGTCAAGATTATGAGCGAGTCCAGTAATTTGTGTACTATCACAATGGATGAGATGGCCCTTAAGGCTGACCTGTTGTACGATCCTGGTAAAGATCAAGTCATTGGTATTGAAGGTGTTTTTTTTTTGAGAAGCAGCCTCATTGCAACATCTGCACTAGTCTTCATGGCCCGTGGTATAAATGAAAACTGGAAGCAGCCCCTGGGATATCTTCTAGTCCATGAATCCTGCCTCAGTGATAAGAATTGTTGGACATGATTGATGAAGTAGCATCATTATTGGACATGATTGGACATGATTGTTACATTGTTGGACATGATTGATGAAGTAACATCAGTTGGACTCCATGTTGCAACTGTTGTTTCTGACTTGGGCTCCAATTTCCAAAAGATGATTAAAAGCCTTGGTGTTACACCAACACAACCATGGTTTTGGCACAAAGGTAGAATGATCTTCTATCTATTTGATGCACCACACATAATAAAGGCTTGATGAAATATAACTTTCATTTTGATGAAAAATTGGCTTCTTGGGATCACACACAAGTAGCGTACAACAGAGATCAACTACAACCCATATGCTGTTGTCCCAAGCTCACACAAAGGCATTTAAATCCTAACGGATGTGAGAAAATGAAAGTCAAGTATGCCACACAAGTCCTCAGCCATACAGTTACATCAATGCTTCTAACATATGTGTCCCTTGGTGCTTTATCACCAGTTGCTTCTGGAACATCTGAATGGACCATTTGCATTATAAACTAAATTTTGATATAAACAAGTCTAGACAAAAATTTCATCACAGCTTGAAAGAGCATCACAAAATTAGTAATATTCCAAAGTTTCGTTGCGAAATGTTGTAAAATGCGGATAATATAGCCTTGCGAAGTTTGCCGTTTTTCAGTCATTTTGTATTACGCACGGGAAATTGACAGCCCAATCGGGGGGTGTTGGGGCATCAATTTCCCGTTTGTAATACAAAATGACTGAAAATTGCAAATTTCGCACGGCTATATTATCCGCATTTTACAACATTTTGCAACGAAACTTTGGAATATTACTAATTTTCTGATACTCTTTCAAGCTATGATGAAATTTTTGTCTGGATCAAAATTTAGTCTATAATGCAAATGGTCCATTGCTTTCAAACTTTGACAATATTTTTGACAGTCTAAACAGCTTGTCACTCTCTAGCACAAAGCTATACAAGCAAGCTGTATCAAATGATTCCCCAGCTATACAAGCAAGATATATCAAAAGTTCACCACACCCAGAATTCTTGGTACATATGCTAAAGTTTGTTAAATCCATAAAGGTGGTTAATGTAATGAGGCCTGATGGAAATATTTAGACAAATGAGCAAACAATCTGAATAATAATGACAACAAAAAATTGTTTTGGAATTACGCTGCATCAAAACGCAAAGGAACTAATGACCTACTTTCTCTAAAAGTAAATGGAAACGAGGTTATTACCAATGGTCTGGATATTGTACAAATAATAATTATTATGCATCAGTGTTTACGGATGAGGACCGACAAAATTTACCTTCGTTTGAGAGGGTTATTAATGATCCTGAACTTGCATCATTACAATGTTCCCCAGAGGAAGTCTCTAGTTTGTTGTCCGAACTAATGCAAAACAAATCACTGGGTCCAGACCAAATTCACCCCATGATATTAAAGAAATGTTCTCATTCGCTATGCAAGTTATTTAATATGTCATTTGCGCTGGGTATTGTACCAGATCAGTGGAAGTTGGCTGATATCATACCTTTGCACAAAAAAGGCCCGAAGGACTACCGAGAGAAGTATCGGCCAGTGTCACTCACGCCTATCGTTAGCAAGATATGTGAGAAAATAGTTTGTAAAAATCTTGTTACATTTTGGATATCCAGAAATGTTTTCACTGCTGACCAGTTTGGTTTTATTAAAGGCAAATCTTGCCTTTCACAGTTGCTTCACATATTTAATGATTGGACAAATGAATGAAATAAAGGAAAAACAACTGACGTTATCTTCTTAGCAAGATAAATGTTTATGGAATACAAGCACCTCATTACAAAGACGCCTCATTACAAAGATAAATGTTTATGGAATACAAGCACCATTACTTTCATGGTTGAACAGTTTCTTAACAAATCGATATCAGTGTGTTGTTATCAGGGGAACTTGCTCTAGATGGACAAATGTTAAATCTAAAGTACCTCAAGGTACTGTTCTAGGACCTGTTATGTTTTTGATCTACATAAATGACATATCCAATGAAATAGAGTCGCCAGCTAAACTTTTTGCTGACGATATGAAAGTCTATAGGGTATTAAAAAACGTTGAGGAAGATCACAGCATATTGCAACATGATCTAACGAAACTGGAATCGTGTAGTGCTGACTGGCAACTGAGTTTTAACACAGAAAAGTGTGAAGTAATGCAAATTACAAAAAAAGACTGACCTCACAAAACCAAGCTACACCTTGATGAATAAAATGCTAAAAGTTGTAGATAATACTAAACCTAACCCTAACCCTAATACTAAACCTAACCCCAACCTAACC